GAAGTGGTGCCTCGGGGCGCGCCCGGGATCCGAACCCGGGCCGCCAGCATCAGAGCGCGCGCACTTAACCGCTAAGCCACAGAGCCGGCCCTGTAAACTATATCTTAATAAAGCTGTTTCAAAAAAAAAAAGTAGACATTAGCCCAATAAGAGACATGAATTCTTACCCCAGCAGTTGTTAGGCAGGTGGTGAACTCTTTAGACAGGGAGGACAACTCTTTACACAACACAACTGTCATCCTAGGAAAGAAGGGAGAAAAGTCAGGAGGTTCCTTTTTTTGCTTTTCTTCATCTTTTTTTTAATAAGCTATATTTAACAACTGTGAGAAGAAAACAAATCACTCCTGGTACTAAATGTGAAAGAAGAAAGCTTTTAGAGGGAGTGTATATGTGTATATACGTTTAAATCAGCTACCTAATGTATCTGGAGATCCATTTGAGCAGGCGTTCATGCTAAAGAAGAGGAGGCTCAGTCCTTGGAAAAACATTTTTCTACAAAATTCTCTAGAAAGTACTATATTTTCAAGTTAAATCAGAGGAAATAACTAAAATACATTTTAAAGAGACAAGATAGTACTCAGATTCTATATTCCATTTACAAATATAATTAAAATAAATATGTATTCAATCATTCATTCAACAAATATTCACTGAAAGTCTTCTATGTACCAGGTACTGTTCTAAGCACTGGGGATATATCAGCAAACAAGCAAGTCCCAGTTTTCATTGATAGAATCACTGATTCTAACTTATTTGCTAATTAAGAAGAAGTTGTCATTGTGTGCTGTCAAGTTGGTTCTGACTCCTGACGACCCTATGAATGAGTGATTGTCCACGACGTCCTATCCTCAACAGCCCTACTCAGCTTCTGTAGACTCATGCCTATGGCTTCCTTTATGGAGTCAATCCATTTCAAATTCTTCCTCCTTTCCTGCTGCCTTCTACTTTTCCCAGCATTTACGTCTTTTCCAAAGAATCCTGCCTTCTCATGATGTGCCCAAAGTAGGACAGCCTCAGAGACTACATATATATATGGATGGATGTGTGTATATGCTGATACACACACACTATACAGTCATGCATCACTTAGCGACAAGGATACGTTCTGAGACACTTGTCGTTAGGTGATTTTGTCACTGTGTGAACATCATAGAGGATACTTACACAAATCTCGATGGTATAGCCTACTACACACCTAGGCTGTACAGTACTAACATTATAGGACCACTGTCGAATATGTGGTCCATCGTTGACTGAAATGTCATTATGTGGCACACGACTGTATACTGTACATGTAGGTATATATGTATATGTATACATATATACACAGAAATATAAATATATACACAAAACATATATACATATGCACCAGGTGGTGATATGAGCTAAGAAAATAAAGTGAGTAAAGGATTAGAGAATGGCAGAAGATTCTATTTTAGACTGAGTGGTGAAAGAAAGCCTCTCTAAGAAGGTGGCATTTGAGTGGAAACCTGAATTCAGTGAAGGAGTGAGCCATGACTGAAAGAGCATTCCAAGCAGTGGAAATAGCCACTTTTCCACAGAACAGGGTACTTTGGGGTTTGAGTCCCTCATCCTAAGGATGTTCAAGACAAACCCAGAGCCCCCTTATGGGATGTTGTAGAGGGTCAGTGAAGCTGTATGAAGAAGAGGTCTGGAGAACAAGGGCCCCTCCCAATCCTAACACACTGGACACTCGCACACATATTTTTTTCCAATGAAAATTTTAATTATTTAATTAGAAGATTTATTTAGAAAGTAGTAGGTCTTTTTATCCTCCTGTGACTACCTACATGCTATTACTTTTGAAATTTTTGTTCAAAACCAACAATATGGTAAAAAAAAAAAAAAAAAAAAAAATGGGGGCCGAGGGCAGTTGGGACTTAGCCAGACCCGGGTTTAAATCCCAGTCAGCACAACTTGGGCAGATTACTTAACTTCTCTTGAGTCTGCATTTCCTCATTTTTAAAGCTTGACTAATCACTTACCTTGAGGGTTGTTGTAAAAATCAGAAATGACATGTAAATCCCTTAGCATGGTGCCTGGCATAAAATTAGCACTCAATAACTAATAACTATTAAGAATTGAGAACAGAACTATTCTCTGTTTTTATTTATACAAAATTCTATTCCTATTAAGACCAATAATCTGAGAACTAGTTTTCAGAGTATGAATTGGTTAATAAAAAAGGGCAGATTTATAATGCAGACTTATGGATCAATGGAAAGAAACAACACCCCTGGCTACTTATTAACTAAAACCTAAAATGAACAGACCTCTAGGATGTGAATGGTGCAAAGTGAATAGCATGTTGTTGAGAGGAAAGTTTCTAAAATTTAGGAAATAAGCCGAGAAACCTCATTCAGCAATTTGCATCATTTAGAGGGATACTCATACTTATACTTACTGGGAAAGGGTTCTGCTCCTTTCTACGGCTGTCACTTCCTGCTTCCTGCCATGCAGAACCAGAGCCGCTGTTTTGTGAAACAGTTCAATTGAGTAGGCAGTTAGTTCTGCTAGGCTCCGGATTGCAAATGCATGGATATCCTGGACGGAAAATCAAAACAAAGCATATCAAAACAAAGCATTGGTTTTTTATTCCAGAGGAAATGACACCACCTTGCTTCTCTCATACTGAAGGATTCAATATCTTGAAAGCAGCAGAGACTAATAGCTGTTCTTCAATAAACCTCCTCTTCTTTCATAGTAGTGATGTAATTTTACTGCTGGGCTCATAGCTGCAAAAACAGAGGCTCCCCTGAAGTCAGGTGTGACCACGTGACTAACTTTTGGCCAAAAGATTTACATAAAAATTGTCTTATGGCAGCTTCTGGGAATCCTCCTTGTGACACCACACACATGCACCCTTTGTCTCTTTCTTCACTCCTCCTTTCATCCTATAGCCTGGAACTAAGATGCTGCCATCTTGGATCTCGAAGGTGAAATTATGGATAGCAGCGCAACAAAACAGAAGGCGCGTAGGTCGCTGATTGTGATACCCATATTGCAAATCTTAAAAGAGAGAAAAAAATTTTTAAAAAGCCTTAGTCGCTTTGGTTACCTCTATTGAATTTTTATTGATATGTACAGTTTTTTCTGCCTCCAACTGTTTTTCTCCTTCTTCCTTCTCTTCTAATGGCTGGGCCAGAGATGTCCTGATCCATTCACAGGCTGTATTTCTTGCCTAAATAAGAAAAAGATTACTGTATGTCAACAATTCAATTCAGCTCACCAAGATTACTGTTCACCTACCAGGAACAAGTTTGCATCGTGGAAGGTGGTGCTCATCTTCTCACCTGAACATACGATCTAGCTTTCCAGTACTTATCTTAGTAGTTCTACTGTCCAACTCATGCCTTTTGGAATTCTCCAATCCTTTGGTTTTTTTTAAAACTGAGGTATAACTTACATATAGTAAAGTGCACATGTCTTCAGAGCACAACTCAAGAAATGTTGACGTGTGTATATACCTATGTAACTGCAACCCAGATCAAGACACAGAACATTTCCAGCATTCCAGAAGGTCCACCATACCCCTTCCTAGTCAATACCGCTCAAACCAAGTCCCCATTGCCCTGCCAAAGGTAACCACTCTTCTCACTATAAGTTAATTTTACCTGTGCTTAAAATGTATATAAATGGAATCATAAGTATGTTCTAATGTGTGTCTGGCTTCTTATGCACAACATAATGTCTGTTAGATTTATCCATGTTGTTGTATGTATCCATAGTTCATTCTTATTTATTGTTGTGCAGTATTTCATTTTACATTTATACCACAATTTATCCATTCTCCTGATGATGAACCTTTGGGTTGTTTCTAGTTTTCTTTGACTTTTGTAATACCACTATCTTCTGTTTCTCCCCCTACCCTTATGAGCATTCCTCCTCAGTCTCTTGTACGTATTGATCCTCCTTTGCCAGACCCTTAAATACCAGTATTACCTAGAGTTCTAGCCTTGACTCTACTTGTCTCACTCTACTCCCTCTCCTCTCCATCCATCCTATTTCAGCGATTTTAACTATTTCCTACCTGCTTCTGACTTCTAGATCCCTATTTCCAGCACTGACCTCTCCTAAAAACATATTCCAACTGCCTGCTGGACATATGCATCAGGATATTCTACAGGCATCTCACATACACGTACAAAATTTGAATTAATCATCTTTCTCTCCCTACCCCTAAATTTTTCATCCTCTTATACTCTCCAGAGATTTAGAGTAGCTACCATATAGCAGTCACTTGACCAAAACATGAGAGCCATCCTAGATTCTTCCCTTTCTAATCAATCACCAAGGTGGTCTGGTTTCACCCTACATATTGCTCCAATCTGCTCCTCCTCCTCTTCTCTATTACCACCACTTGAGTTCAGATCCATTTTATGGCAATAGCACCCTGACTGGTCTCTGCTTCTGATCTGGATAATCTTAAATCCATCTTCCATAATGCTACCAGTGATCTAAGCCCAGAACTGATCATTCTTCTTCCCTTCAATGGCTCTTCATCAACTAGATCATGCATCTTCACATAATCTAGGAAGTCCCCACAACCTACACCCTACCTACTTCTTCAGCTTTGTCTCCTCCCCACATTCTATTTTATGACCTGGTAATAATCATCTATAATGTGCCTGTTCTTTGTTTATGCTATTCCCTTAGGCTAGAATGTCCTTCTCATTTTTTTTAATTAAACAAAATGAGACCTACCTCAGAGTAGGTCTTAATTTTCTTTCAATCCTCCACCCAGACATCATCTTCTCCAGGTAACTTTCAAAGGCCTTCCATGAGACTGGGCACCTAAACAACCCTTCTCTGTACATCCACAGTCCCCTGACCACCCATTCAACTTAGTACTTACTGAAATACACTGCGTCTATCTCCTAAAAAAACTACATTATTATAGGATAGCTATAGAGTATCTTACTTGGATTCATATACCCAGTGCCTGGCAGACTGTAGAGAGAACATCTACTGTTTTTACCTGGTTATCATCCATGTCTCCTTTCTTTTGGTAGTAGATTCTAGATTTTTCTCAGTTCATGAGGTTTGGGTGGGGTTGCTTCCATCCTCTGGCTTCAAGCATTGGCAACTGATTCAGGTTTAGCTACTAAGAATATTAATCCCCCTGTCCATACAGTGATTGGTTCATGGATGGAAAAGTGACCCAGGCCAGGTTAACAGGCATCAGCCTTAGGACATCTGACAAAATTACTGGGAAAGGGAAGCCCTCTTTCTGTTGGAGTTACTCAGCTAGAAAAAGCCACCCTGAAGCTGTGAGAAGTCATCTTACCACCATGTGGGAAAGCTTCCCTACGAACGAAGCCAAAATAGAAGAAAGCAGTCAAGAGCTGGAGAGGGCAGGTAACCAGGTGGAGAGCCATGACCGAAGCCAGTCTTGCCCCTTGATTTTCTAGTTTCTTGAGTTAATGAATTCTCCTTTTTTCTTAAGCCAGTCTGACTTGAGTTTCTGTTATTTACAACAAAGAGGGCCCTAGTTTCTCACGAAATGTTTATTGTCATTAAATGAAGGCATCCACTTAAGTAACTTTATATAAAGAGAATGTTTTCAGAGCTGTAATGAGGCAACAAGAATCCAGAGAAGACATTGAGAGTCATTCCAACTGAAAGAATCATAGGTTTTATCACCAATATAGCACTGGGGTTGGACCTTTAAGGATTATAGGTAAAGCTACACCCAAAGCTACAACATGAATGAGCTAGAGCAGAACCTATGTACCCAGACATCCATTTCAAGGTTCTTTCCCCTTAACAACAGGCCTCCCACAAAAACCGTCAGGAGCAATCTGGATCTGATCTATAAGCTTCCTAGTACTTAGTAACCTCTCCAACTCAAAAACACAAAAAAGAAATTAACTATATAAAGGCTTGCAAGCAGGAAAACACAAAGTGTGCTGAGAAAACTGTGAGATAACTAGCAAGACCAGAGCATAGGGTGCAGGCATTTATTAATTCATTTGTTTATTATTATTATGATGATGCAGATATGTACTGCACACTGTCCTAGGCACTGGGATACAGTGGTGACTAATACAAACTATGGCCCTGCTCTTTATTCTAGTGTGGAAAAACAACAAGCAAACAAAAAAATGCACGAAGAAAATAAAATGGAGTGATGGCAAGTGTGGACTGGGTGGGCAGAAAGCAAATTTGGTCTGGGTGGTCAGGAAGGGTCTCTGATCTTATTTGAGCTAAAATCTGAAGTTTAAAAGAAGTCAGCCAAACAAATATTTAGACAAAGAGAGTTGTAAGCAGCTGGTGTATTTGAGGAACAGAACAAAAGCCAATATGGGAAGGATATAGAGCATGGAGAAACATGACAGAACATGAGGTTGGAGTGATGAGATTTTTATAGAAGAGAATAGTGAGAGATGAAGCTGGAAAGAATCATAACAGTTGACGAATAGTCCAAACAGTATGTGAAATTCTCTGCCACTTTTCTGAAGAAATGAAATGAGAGAAAAACCAGCAATTGATTTATCTGAGATTTAAAAAAAAAAAGAAAAATGGAGAGAGATAAGCCACATAAAAGCAAAAGAAAATTGATATCATAAATTTGATATACTTGAAGGAGACTTTTAGTAGGCATAGTGCATACTCAAAATGACCTCTCTTGTAATAAATACATTAAGTGAAGTCATTATGAACTACCACGCCAATGCAAGGTAATTTATCATCCCTTTCCAAAATTTTCAATGTTACCCACCCCCACCCCCATAATACAGTCTGGAACCTCCCATTGGTGAGATCTGGAGACATAGGAATTAAATGTCACCTTTGAGCTTAGCTTCTCCAACTATTTATTATTTTCTGGCTGAAAAAATTAAAGCCTGGAGAAGGAATGGGATTTGCCCACATCCTATGTGAGTGTCAGAATAAGAATCAGAACTGTCTTCTCAGACTCCTGCTTCATTGCTTTTTCCTCTACATCACCCTGCCTCCCACATGAATCCTTGGGAACAATCAGGCCCTGATCCTTAACCATTCCACATCTTAAGTCTCAATGCCCAAAATGTAAACAATCTGAAGACTGCTTTCAAAGAATGACTAGATCTATTAGATAATGGGTTACTAGCCTTTTTAAAATAATTTATTATTATGATCTTCTTGAGCACAGAAACTATGTCTTTTTCATTACTGTTTCCCTAGCACCTAGCCAAATAAAAGTTTATTGAACACATGTATATTTATTAAATATCTAAATGTAGAACAGATTGGGCTAGTTTCTATAGGACCATCAATGGTGAGCATTTACTACGAGCCAGGTAAATAGTAAGATCTTTGCGTGTATTAACACATTAAATCCTCACAGGAACCCTACAGGATCCCTACCTCACAGATAGAGAAACTGAGGTACAGACAGGTTATGCAACTTGCTCAAGACCACACAGAAAGTAAGAGGTGGTAGAGCTGGGATTTTAAGGACCAATAAAGCACAGATCCAGCCTTGAAGAAATTTAAGATTTAAGACAGGAGGTGAGATACACACATTAAAAAAAAAACCTATGATAAATTTATGAAAATACATATGCACAAGGTTAAGTGAATACAGCAGGGTCCTAAAACATATAGTATGTATGTTAACTTTTGTACAAGAAGGAGATAAGAAAATATATCTGCTTGTCTAAAAAAGAAACACAGGCAAGATATACCAGAAATCAAGAAAGTTTAATACCTAAAAGGAGAGAGAAGAATGGAGTGGATGGGAACCAGGAGGCAGTGACACTTCTCAGAGTATAGTTTTGAGTTTGGAAACATGTTAATACTCTATAAATTCAAAAATTAAATTAACATAGGGGGACAGCAAATATATCAAATTCTATTTGTAGGTTGGTTTTATAGTTGTATGGGCAAAGCTATGACACTATTTCAGATGCATTACAGGATTGAGGAAATAAGGAAATGCACTAATGTTGTTGGGAGACAAGGTTTTACTATGGAAGAAGAGAAATACATGTGTAATGGAGAAAGGCAAGGAAGAACCCTGCAGGGATGGACTGAAATTGGAGTTATCAGTGTGAACTCATGATCTCTAAAACATGAATGTGCGTACACGTACACATATAGGTCTATGTGTGTGTACCTGAATGTACTTCCTAGCTCTGCCAACAAGGCCTAGAAGCAAAGACATCCTGATAGCAATGAGCACACCTAGCAACCAAGTCTTTACCTATGATTCCAAAAAGGAACAATGGCTCCTCAAACAAATGGCTGATTCCAGGGCTGGAGTATGGAAGGTACAAGATGAGTCTAGAATATCTTCTTATGCCAGAAAATAAAGAAATATTCAAAAAACAACGAGGGCCTGTCACACAGGAGTCAGCTTGAAGGACAATTTGAACACCAAAATAATTAAGGTCAGTAATGAATTACAAACCAATAGGGGAAAACCTAGAAATCCATGAGATCATACTAATAACAAATAGATAACAAATAAAGAAATAGGGCAGAAAGGAGAGTCCTTAACTGCAGTAGAATGCCAAGAGCCAACTAGTAAATGTGGAGCACATTCTGGAGTTGAAACAAATCATTTTACAACCATCACAGTAAAGATTGGTGCAGCAAGAATCATGAATTGTTGATAAATCTAGGAGGGAAATTATGAAGAGCATAGGATATTTGTATGGTCTTAAAATGTCTCCCCACAGAAAGTTTATTAGTAGCACAGGAAAAAAATCATAACTACACAGTGAGAAATGAGACAATACATTACCAATAAGGGGCAGTTGGTCATTGTGTGGCTCTAGATGTGGTACCCTGGGCAGGATACAATATCACTTATGAAGTCTTTTGGATGGGAATGCATAACCCAACTTTAATCATGAGAAAACATCAGACAAACCTCAAATGAGCACTCTATTTCTAGACAAGTGGGAAGGGGCTTATATTTCTCAAAAATGTCAATACCATAAAAGACAAAGAAAGGCTGAGGAACTATTCCAGATTAAAAGAGACTAAAAGTACATGACAACTAAATACAATTCATGATCATGTACCAGCTCTTATGTTAGAAGATAAAATTTGATTTGAAGGACATTACTGGGTCAAGTGACAAAACTGGAATGTGGACAACAGATTAAATAAAATATGGTATCAATGTTAAATTTACTGCAGTTGATAAATACTGTGGTTATGTAAGGGAATATCCACATTAGGAGATACATATTGAAATATTTAGGAGTAAAGGGCTATCATGCCTACAATTCACTCTCAAAAATAGTCCCAGTAATATGGACCCGGCCCAGTGTCATAGCAGTTAAGTCTGCGTGCTCCACTGTGGTGGCCTGGGGTTCACAGGTTCGGATCCTGGGCGTGGACCTATGTATCACTTGTCAAGCCATTCTGTGGTGGCGTCCCATATAAAGTAGAGGAAGATGGGCACGGATGTTAGCCCAGGGCCAATCTTCCTCAGCAAAAAGAGGAAGATTGGCAACAGATGTTAGCTCAGGGCTAATCTTCCTCACACACCAAAAATAGTCCCAATAATAATAATAACAACATGGCGGGTTAGGGGGGAGAGGAAGGGACAGGGAGAGGGAAAGAGAGAAGACATGCATGAATGATTAAGAAAATGAAGTAAAATGTTAACAATAGGATCATTTGCATAAAAGGTATATGAATATTGTTTGTACTATTTTTGCAACTTTTCTCTAAGTTTAATATTATTTCCAAAATTAAAAAAAAAACCCACTACGATACAAGCTAGAAAGTGCTGTGGCAAAGTGCAAAAGTTGAGATGAGGGAGATGAGCTGCTGGAGGGTGGTGTGAAAAGCTTTCTTAGAGAATGCAGCATTTTCACTGGGCACAAGAGAGTTGGAAAACAAATCAAACATCATATTCTTTACCCTCGGATATGTGAGAGAAGGTGACTGTAGTGACTATACAATGACTATCAGCTCTCCTTGGCTAGGAAGTAATGTGTGCCTGCTGCTAACTGGTCCTGAAATGGTTCTCAAGATTGAGAGAAGACGACGAGGCAGCAAGCAGACCAAGACGCAGTGAACAGTGTCCCATGAGCTGGCCCTGGCATACATGCTATGTGGGTACTGCTCTGGAAACAGACCCTCCCTATCCTCTCTCAGCTTTGATTAAAGATCCTCCATGTTCCACATGTGTGAAGATAGCTCTGGCATCACCACCAAAGACCAAGGCCATGGGACTCTCTCATTCCTACATGCTAAATGGTCATTATCTGAGTCGTTGGGCTCTGGGAAATGGTAACCTCCAGCTTCCTAACGGCAGGGGCCACATCCCATTATCTCTGAATCACTCAGAGCCATGAGAACAGTGAGACCTCAATAAAGGCTAGCCCATTGGTATCATGAAGGGTGGTGAGCACTGCCAACTTTAACTGACCAACACTGTGGTCTAATTTAAGCTTTCAGACAAGCAAAACATTCCAAGTAAGGATGGCAGATGTGTTGTGGGGGGCAGATGTGAATTCAGCATGCTAACCTGCAAGAGCAGGAGGCAGACAGAAGGTGCAGAACTTAGAATATACCCTCAACTTTGGTGATATCCTTCCCAGGAATTTACAATCTTACGTTCTTTTTTTTTTCGGTGAGGAAGATCGGCCCTGAACTAACATCTGTTGCCAATCTTCCTCTTTTTGCTGAGGAAGATTTTCACTGAGCTAACAACTGTGCCAATCTTTCTCTATTTTGTATGTGGGATGCCACCACAGCATAGCTTGATGAGCAGTGCATAGGTCCGGGCCCGGGATCCAAACCTGCAAACCCCGGACTGGCGAAGCGGAGCAGGCAAACTTAACCACTACAACACCAGGCAGGCCCCCAATCTTACATTCTTTATTCACTAAATCCAAACAAGTAAAAAAACAAAAATCACCAAGAAGTAATGACTTACCCTGGCAAGTTTCTCTGGTTTGGAGGAGACATTTAGCTGGGAAACTAGCTCTGTTATCTCTTTGGTAAAGTCTTCATCTCCTAAAAAAAAAACAAGTTCCCTGTAAAACACTGCAGAAAGACTGGTGAGGATCATGAGGAGGAGGAGTGGGGAGAAGGAAAAGGAGAGGGACAGTAGTAGCAGCAACAGTAGTAATAACAGCAGCAGCAATTTATACGAGCATGGTGCTTTAGTGCTTACAGAAGCCTTTTATGTATATTAGATCAATGAATTCTTTCAATGGGCTTATAAAAAGAGTGTCATTATCCCACTTTTGAGATGAAGAAACTAGGGCTTGAAGAGGTTTATTTATTTCCCCAAAATCTCATAGCAAATTAGGAGTCAAACCTTGGCCTTCCCACCCCCAGTCCAAATCCTGTGTTCTTTGTATTACATCCCAGAAGTATGAATGGAGAACTGGTGAAGGCAGAGTACTAAGCAGCTACTATGCATGTGCTTCCAAGGAGGTGGAATTTAAATTGGGACATAAAAAACGAGTACAAGTCAGGAGAATGGGAAGAATTTCAGGCAGAGAAAACAAGCACAAAGATCCAGAGGTGAAAAAAAGCATGGCAAGAAGTTTAATACAGTTGGGAGTGTCTTAAGGTAAGGGGGAGAAGAGGGGTAGAATAAAGCTAGCAGGGTAAGTAGGATCCAGGTAATAAAGGGCCTTACAAACCATGGGGAAGAATTCAAACTTTTTATTAAGGGAATGAGGTGCCATGGAATGACTGTAAATAGAGAGAGATATGTCCAATTAAAATTTCAGAAAGATTACTCTGGCTCCTGGGTGGGGGATGGATTAAAAGGGGAATAAGAAATGGGGCAGGAAGGCTGAGGCAATAATTCAGGATCCAGGCAAGAAATAATGGTGGATAAGAAGAAAAGAAGAGAAAAAGGGATTCCAGAATGTTGGAAGGATGGTGAGGAAGCTGTGGGAATGGTGACAGATGACAGGGAACACAGAATACATACCTATACTTGAGAAATACACAAGCAAACAGTCGGGTCAAGATCAAAAAGCAATCAACACATCCAAACAAATGGCAGGAAATGCTCTTTTCCTCTCTACTCATCTAAATCCTATTCAATCTCCCCTTTGAAGCCCTGTGGAGGCTTCTCTGCACCACAGAACGCAGAGAGAACTCTTGTACACAGAAATCTTTTAGCACTTACAAACTATATGAGTATTTCTTAGTCACCACGTCATGGTTTACCAGGGCAAATTATTACCGCTTCATACCTGCTTTCTCTCCAAAATACTTAAGAAAACAATTCTATCTTGGTTCTTCTCTCTCCATCTGCTATCCTTTTGTCCTTCTCTCTTCATATTCAAGGCAGAGAATTCAAATGGTTTAGTGATCGCAGGTATAATATGGTTTGGGAAAAGCTTATCTCACTAAATGATACAACTGTGACCTATATAACTCATCTAAACAACTCCTAATCATATCTTACTGCCTAAAAATCTAAAATCTGACTCTTAGGTAGGCATTTTGTTTTCCTGACTGAGTTTTAAATTATTTGGATGCAAAGGATAAATCCATACTGGAATGCACACACCCCAAGGGGTTCACAAAATAATCCAAGAGAACACAGGGGAAAAATATGAAACTTTTATTTATAGACATTTACCTCATTCTTTAAAAAAATTCTATTTTAGGGTATACTTTAGAATGTAAACAATATATTATTATAGTAGTACATATGTATAATTTACGAACATTCAAATATACATATGGTAGGTCTAAGTGCTCAAAAAACTTTCACAGCTAAGGGTTGTTCAAAAATGCTTAGAGATCCCTGTGATGTACTCCCCACAGACCTGAGCATAAAAAGTAGTCGTGGCATTAGAATAAAAGCATGTAAGAATGGAAAGGAGGCAGGGCTAGTGCTTTGGGGAAACTCAGGAGAGAGGCTGGCGTCTCCCCAAGCAGGAAGTCTCCTTCGGAAGTGAAGGGATCAGGTGCATAAGACAGAGGAGCAAGGGTTTAAGACTGCTGATAGAAAATGAAAATGACCAACATCACAAGAACCAGGTTCTGTGGATTTCTCTCCCCTCTGCTACCACCACTTTTTTTAACAACTTCACTGAGATATAATTAAATACCAATGCCAGTGTTGCATTCTCAACCAAAATCACCAGGGAGGGCTGCTGGGAAGCTGCGCATGCAGCACTCCAGTGCAGAGTCCTAATCTCTGGCAAACAGGTAGCGGAGAAAAATATCGTAGACACAAATCCATCTGTTTAGAAAATCCCTTCGAGTCCTCTGAATGGTATTTAAAGATCAGGATTTCTGATTACTATGCAAAGCCAGATGGTGACTAAATTGAAAAAATACTGTTAATGGCACTGTGTACAAATAACTTAAATTAAGTTTATAAATAACCGGGGATTGTCACACCAGGGCTTGGTTAGGAAGAATGGAGCAACTTAAGCAAATCAAAATTAATCTATGAGTTTCCTGCTAAGAGAGACTTTTTTTTTTTTTTTTTTTTTAAAGATTTTATTTATTTATTTTTTCCCCCAAAGCCCCAGCGGATAGTTGTATGTCATAGCTGCACATCCTTCCAGTCGCTGCATGTGGGACACGGCCCCAGCATGGCCAGAGAAGCGGCGCGTCGGTGCGCGCCCGGGATCCGAACCCGGGCCGCCAGCAGCGGAGCGCGCGCACTTAACCGCCAAGCCACCAGGCCGGCCCTAAGAGAGACTTTTAAAATGCAGACCTTTATCTATTTACTTATGCCATCCTAATAATGCAAATAATAGCTACCATTTGTTGAGTGCTTACTAGGTGCCACACATTAAATATAATATTTCATTTAGTCCTTATAACAACCTGAGAGGAATTAGCATCCTCTTCTTACAGTTGAGGAAACAAAAGCTCAGTATTAAGTAACTTTCCAGAGTCGCATGGCTTAGTAAATAGCAGATCTTGATACTGAACCCAGGTCTAACTCCAAAACCCATCCTTCTATCCACCATGCTATACTGCCTTCTCAATACCTCAAGACAGCTTTAAGAACTTATATTCAAGAACCATTTCATAACAGGACTCTTTATTTAAATTAAGATGTCATTTAGCAAGATGTTATATAACAGGCAGTTTGACTTCTTAGAACACAGTGCAAAACACAAATGGAAACAAAAAAGAACAAGTCTCTCTTGCACAGAATCTATACATTCAACTTTACGTCCTTCTCTCACAAGAAAGACTCTTACTCAGAGCGCTCTGCTTTTAATACATAACTTGAATATGACTAGTTATCTGGTTTTCCACCACAGCAGATGAGAAACAGAAAATGAGATTTGGGGATACCAGAAACAAGCTGAATGACAGTGAAGAGAACCCAGAAATGGGGAGATAAATGCACAGAAGGAAATAAAGATGCACAATTCTAAAAAGCAATTACAGACATTGTTAAAAGTATAGTGGTCTGGTATAATTTAACCTAACAGTTCTCAAATATTTTGGTCTCAAAACCCCTTTACACTCTTAAAATGTTTTGAGAATCCCGAAGAGTCTTTTTTAATGTAAGCTATATATCTATCAACATTTTTCATATTAAAAATTAAAACTGAAATGTTTGAAGTATTTATTAATTCATCAAAAATAACAATAAACCTACTACTTGTTAAAATAACATACTTTTTAAGAAAAATGACTATATTTTCCAAAAAAGAAAAATGTTAGTGAGCCAAGTGCCACTGTTTTATATCTTGGCAAATCTCTTTAACGTCCAGCTTAAAGATAGCTAGATTCTTTTACCTGTTTTTACACTCAGTCTGTTGTGACATGTTGTTTTGTTTAAGTACATGAAGAAATTCCAAGCTCATAAAAATATGTAGTTGGAAAGGGGAGAAGTATTTTAAAAGCCTTTTCAGATAATTGTGGATATTCTTTAACAGCACACCAAACTCAACAAACGGTTATTTTTTAACGGTTAGTTGCAATTTGGAACCTGAAACCGTATCATGAAATTTTGAACTTGGTTACATTAAATTAAAATACGTTAGTCTATCTTTTGCCTAGGCATGATTTTGTAATGTCACACATTAGTTACTTGAAAAATACTGGTTCTCTGAGTTATGCACATCTTCCAAATGCTGACACACTTCATTATAAAATTCCCAAAAAGATCAAATTTGTTACTATCACCACCGATTTCATCAGAAAAATCTGTAAGCACTGGGAAGCTGTCAAGCTCACCACAGTATTTACAAAATTCTAACTTTTCCTTAGTTTGAATTTTATTAGTACAAATACTATTAGCTGCTTTCCTTGAAGCAAAGGCTCACTTCATTCATTTTCAGGAAATATTACCAAATATCCTACTCTGAATAGTCTGTGTGACTGCAACCTTTTAAAATAAAAATGGTTCCATAAAAAAACAGGTAGTTCAGCTTACAAATCTAACAATACAAGTGCTTTTCCTTGAGACAACTTCAGTATGCATCACACAGACTATGAAAAGAAGTGTACTCAAGGGTCAAGACTTAATAAAATTAATAATTGTTACTGCTTCATCAGGACAAGGTTAAACGAAATTGGCACTTTTTTTTTTTTACTGTGAATGTGTGGCAGTGAAAATATAATATTAGTACAGTTTGGTGCCACTATCTTGATTCATGCTAAGGCACCAGTAATTTCCCACCACTGCTTCTGCACCAGTAGTACAAATGTCAAAACAATAAAAAAGAAAAATTTTTTAAGCAAATCATCTTGGTACTATTAAGCAAAGAGCTTTGACTCAGGAGCTCCCTGAAGAGGTCTTAGAGACTCAAAGATCTGCAGACCACACTTTTTAAACCACTGATGTAATCTACCACATGGACGACTGGCCCTATATGTCTTGACAGTTCCTGAGGAAATTTTTCTATTCACTTTTTTTTTTTTAAGTTTTATTTATTTATTTATTTTTCCCCCAAAGCCCCAGTTGATAGTTGTATGTCATAGCTGCACATCCTCCTAGTTGCTGCATGTGGGATACGGCCTCAGCATGGCTGGAGAAGCGGTGCGTCGGTGCGCGCCCGGGATCCGAACCCAGGCCACCAGCAGTGGAGCGCACGCACCCAACCGCTAAGCCACAGAGCCGGCCTTCTATTCACTTTTTATGTTTATAATTGATTGTTTCATCAGAAAAGGCAAAACTGTAATCATCAGATTCTACTAAAAAAAGAAGCCAGTTAGTTTGTAACACATAGTAGAAATATTTCCAGGTAAAATGTTAAAATGAAACAACTCTTAAAGCTTAAAATTCAACTGCCCAGAAATTATGCTTTATGTCAACCACCTCATTTCCTGATTGCTCTGCAGAAATTAGTAGCTACTACACTTAACATTTTCTGAGGGACAAAGATATTAAAATATGGCATAAGAAAACTTTTGAAAATGAAAAAGATAAACTATCACCCACATTTTGGATAACTGCCACCCTGCAGGCCTCAATTCAAGATGAGGTCAGGGGTCACAGGAGTCAGAGAGGCATGGGAGTAGTATCTAGGGATACAAAAGCTCATAGGGATGACCAGCCAGACTGAAGCAGGAATCTGACAAAGGCAGCTCTCTAACTGAAAAAGCAGACAGAGATGTGAGTTGCAAGATTAGACTTGGAGAAGCACAAAGAGTTGGGGGGAGGGAGGATGGAGAAGAAACACACATAAGGCCAAATACATCAATGCCTAGTCAGGGGAAAGACCGCAGAGAATTCTGCAGAAAAACCCTCAATAAAAAAAGTAAAATCAAGCCAGTGTAATTGGAGAGAAAATAATTTATTTCAAGGGCAAGACACTGCATATAAACACACTACACCCCCCCCTCTCACATACTGGATTTTTATATTACCTTTTTTTTCTTCTTCCTCTTCCTCACAGAATTCTGCTAGGGAAAATGCTTCTTTGAGCTGCTCCAATTCAAGTTTTAGAGTCTCTAATTCTTCTCCACTTAGAGAATTAAGGACAGATTTCACCTGAATGGATATAAAGAAAAAGAATAACATTCACAAATGGAGAAGAGGCTACAGATCAAATTAAAATCAAAATTATGAGCTCACCAGCCAACACAAGCTATTCCTTAAGAACCAACACAAGAGGCTGGTCATTACAGAAAGGCAGGGAGAATTTGTACTTCCAAAAATAATACAAGCCAGAAATGTCTGGAAATTATTAGTGCTTAACAAATCTTAGAAATTAGGGGGAAATGAAATAGTCTTGAATGAATTTAAAGCTAACAGGTAACTGTATCCAAATTGGCAACTTAAGCCAAAGACACTGAAAAAAAGAAAGACCAAAGTGAAGGAAAAATAACAGATGAGCCATTAATACCTCTTTGTCAATCTGTCTTTTTTGTTTAATTAGAGAAATAAGACATGACTCATTCCATTTCTATCAATTAGTTCAAACATTAGTTTTTTGTTTATTTTGGTATAGTATTTTCAAATAGTCTCAAGTCTCCATCTGAAATACATGTCATCTTCCAACTGTACAAAAAGAAAAGAAACTATGCAACATTCCTATGCTTGGAGACTATTCCAGTTGAAATTTCTGGTTTGGAATTACCTTTATTTCACTTTCTCGGGAAAGCATCTCTAGAGCTTCTAGATGTGAAAGGCCTTGAAATTCATCAAAGAGTAGCCCATAATGAGCTTTCTTGTCCGTTTCCACAGTAACCTCATTGGAGGTCCATAGCTCTTCTTTCTCCTTCGCCTCTCTTAAAACCTGAAAAAGAGATGGAGACATTACAATGCAGCAAGTAATGAGACCTCAAGAGCGAGTTTTGAGAGGTGAAGGAAGCAAAGCTGAGATGGGTAAGAGTACTGAGCACTGTCCTTTCATTCCTGGCATTGTGATTCAAGCCTGATAGGCTCAGGGGCTGTGGGGGAAAAAAATGATCACACATAATATGATCCTAGACAGGGTAAATAACACCCAAGGAAGCAAGTCTTTCTCCAAAAGCAGTTTAAACATTACTCTAATAAACAACTCTGGAAGGGCTTGGCATCCTGTACTTCATTGCCAAGAGGCTTCTGCAAAAAGGAAAGAGGAGGAAAAAAAGAACTGGGACATTTTTCTAAGCATTAGAGCTCTCACTGTCTACCTCCCACAAAAGCCTTAATAAATAAATCATTGAAAATTCTTCAAAAGGAAATATTAACAAGGTCTCAAGTTACCATAGGCAAAAATACAGACCAAAACAGAAACAGGAAGTAAACAGGTAAAACCAAACAGTACCTGAGACAGTGTAGAATTCCGGTTCATCAGACCCTTGGTTCTTTTAAATCCAGGATCCCCTTCTGCTATTACATCCATGGTCTTTTTCCCAATGAATTCTAAGGCATCCAAACCTCCACTGATAACACTCTTTCCCTAGGAAACACACGCAACCTCGTTATAATAATATTGAAAAAAAAACACCTGCATGTTTTGAATATATAAAGTAGTGGCTAACAATACGAAGCACTGGCAAGAATATGGAGCAACTGAAACAATCATACACTGCTTGTGAGAATGTAAAGAGGTATAACCACTTTAGAAAACTCTATCTGCTACAGCTGAATATATGAATATCCTATGATCCAGCAACTCTACACATGGTCACATACTCAACAGAAATGTGTACAGAAATTCATCAAAAGACATGTACAAGAAGGCTCATAATAGCACTATTTGTAAAAGCTAAAAACTGGAAACTACCCCAATACTCATCAACTGTGGCATAAATAAATGTGACAAAGTCACACAATGGAATACAGCAAAGAAACTGGAATACAGTATGCAAATTACACCATGGATAAATCATACAAACATAATGTTGAGTGAAAGAAGCTAGAAACAAAAAACTATATACGGTATGATTCCATTCATATAAAGTCTAAAAGTCAGCAAAATTAATCTATGATGGTAGAAGTCAAGATTGTGGTTATCTTGGTGGGCAAGAGAGGGAGGCACAGATAACTGGGAGAGGGCAAAGAGGAGACATGTGATGTACCATAATGTTGTTTCTTAGTCTAAACGTTTTCACATTGTGAAAATTCAAACTGTGAACACTTGTGATTTCACTTTTCTGTGTATATGTTATACTTCAATAACAAGTCAAAATTAAAAAGTACTAGCTATCTATTTTCATATAGGCAAGATATTAAGCTTCCTATATAATCTTTTTAAAAATGTTTCTAATCATCTATAGTTTTATAAGTATTTATCATAAATATCACAACTCCCCCTTGCCTAAAAGATACAATTATGAGAAAAATATTTTTGTGAAGCAGAGTTTTCTAGGGCCACCAAACCAAAAATTCCTAGTCCATAAAATATTACGTACATTGCCTCTCTGTTACTCTTCATTCCCTACTCCCTCCTTTACTTCTTTAAAGTCAAGTAGCTCTCCCTCCACCCCTAAGATTAAAGTGAGTGATCTTCAGTGATTTGGACTCCCATAAAAGTAATCAGCCCCGACGGCTTTTCAAGGAAAAGAGTGAGAAAGAGACAAAAACCCATCATAACCACGGAAGGGAGGAGGCGACCTTGCACTTTTTACTCACTGTGCTCTGAACAGCAGTAGAGATGGTGGAGAATACACCAAAGGGCCCAGTCATTGGGGAGGAAGTTTCATTCTCTTTGGCATTTGTCTCTCCTACAGGAGGGAGAGTAAGTGTAAATATGAAGGGATGGTCCATAAATAGATTTGCTTTATTAGCAGCTATGTGAATTTTTAAAAATTAGACCCTGCTTCCCACACACAAGGCCTTAGCCCTTTTTGTTTTATTACTTTAAACTATTTGCCTATTTTAAAATGAAAGCTTAGATAGCTTTTTTTCATTTTCATTTCAAAAATAAAATCCAGTCTTTTAAACAAACTACTAATATACATAACAACAGATACATACTGTACGATTCCATTTATATAATCTTCTGGACAAGACAGAACTATAGAGTCAGAAAACAGATCAGTGGTTGCCAAGAGCTGAGAGTAGGTGGAGGGAAGTGACTACAAAGGGGTATGAGGGTACTTTTTTGGGGTAATGAAAATATTCTAATATCTTGATTGTCTATACAGATACAGGAAATATTCTACATCTGTATCATCACAATAGACTGTGATTATACAGTGTCAAAAGGCATGTATGTTTGTCAAAACATGTAAAACTGTCCCCCTAAAAAGAGTCAACTTTACTGTATATAAATAACTCAATAAACCTGACTTTTAAAAATCTAGCCTATTTAACTTTTATCCTAGAAAATTATGCTTATTCACAGGAATCACACATGCATTATAAAGACGGGTATGTTTCATTAAGAAAAAAATCTGTTCCATTTTATTAACTTTGAAATCTCACAGGAGATCAACAAATAATCTATTATAAGGAGGACTACTGCTTCCAGCTACGATGGATTAACTGGTATCAGACTTGCCCTTCTACCATAGTATCTAGAAAATTGGATAAAATATAAGAAACAACTTTCTTCAGACATTGGACAACAAACAGTATAGGACTATGGTCCAGGAGAAAAGAGAAACAAATGAAGGAAACTCTATGATTGGTTTGGCTTTCCAGACCACATCACAGAGAGTGAAAACCCAAGCAGAGCATGGCAGTTTCACTGAGTGGAAGAGACAGAGACTAGAGTCCAGGAAAGCTGAAGCACCTGGAATGTGCAGGTCAGAGTACTGGAGAGGAGGGAGCTATAGAGGTAAAGACTTCCAGGAACCTACATAGCAATGCCCTTGAGTTTTTGGCTGAACACAAAGCTGTTCATGCTTTGGGAGACTTCACAATTAAGAGACTTCTGAGCAAAGAACTACCATGGAGCTGTAAACTAAACAATGCCCAAAGCTCCTGCTAGGCTGAGAGACATCTAACTTCCAACCAATCAAGTAGAGAGACCTAGTTAAACACCTGAGAATTAGGTAGAGACCTCAGAAGAGCCAGAGGCTTTAACAGTAGGGCTAAACTAGCACTTAAGAGTAAAGGCTACTCCAGATTCACCTTAAAGAAGCTTAAAAACAAGCCTTAAAAGGATCAATCTAAGCTACAAATACTATCTTAACTGCTTGCCAAACAAAACTCACACCTTTTAAAAGAAGACAACAAAATCCACTCAACAATGTAATATTCCTAACATCCAGCATCCAAACAAAGAAATGAAAAACATGATCTATAACAAAGAAAAAAAATTGGTCAACAGAAAGAGACTCAAACGACAGAGATGATAGAATTAGCAGACAAGGACACTAAAATATGTACATCAAGAGGTGAGAAAAAGAAACAATGGAATTCCTAGAGCTGAAAAATTTCACATCTGAAATAAAAAGTCATTGAATGGACTTAACAGTATTAGACAAAGCAGAAGAAACGATCGTGAACTTGAAGACACAACAATAAAAACTATCCAAACTGAAGCACAGAGAAAAAAGGCTTAAAAAAAGTTAACCAAACCTCAGTGACTGTGGGACAATACCAAACTATCTAAGACACACGTAACTGGAATCCCAGGGAATAAAAGCAGAGGGCAGAAATATTACACTAAGAAACAATGGCCAAACAGTTTCCAAATTTGATTAAATCCTGAATCCACGAAGTCCAATGAATCTCCAGCAGAATAAACACAAAACTACATCATAATCAAAACTGCTGAAGAGCAGTGATCATGAGAAGTTGTAAAAGCAGCCAGAGAAAAGACACATTATATACAGGGAAACAATGACAAAAATCTGACTGACTTCCCAAGAGAAAGAATGAAAGCCAAAACACAATAGAATGGCAGTTTTAAAGTGATAAAAGGGAGAGAAAATCATCATTGTAGAAATCTACATCCAAAAAAAATCCTCAAAAATGAAAATAAAAACATTTTCAAACAAACAAAATATGAGAGAATTCACTGTCAGTAGACCTGCACTAACAAGAAATATTGAAGAAAATTCTTAAAGCTGAAGGAAAATGGTATCAATTGAAAACTTGGCTCTACACAAAAGAAGGGTGAGCATCAGAAATGGTAATTATGGGGCCAGACCCAGTGGCCTAGTGATTAAGTTCAGCATGCTTGGCTTCGGTGGCCCAGGTTCGGTTCCTGGGTACGGACCTACACCACTCGTCTGTCAGTGGCCATGCTGTGGTGGCGGCTCACATACAAAAAGAAGACTGACAGCGGATGTTAGCTCAGGGCAAATCTTCCTCAGCAAAAAAAAAAAGGAAATGGTAATTATGTGGATAAATATAAAAGACCTTCCGCCCTACTTTTTAATATTCATGGGGTAGAAATGGGAGAAAGGTCTTCCCTTTTCTCTCTTCAAACAATGTTGTTTAGAGACAGCCCTGATGGTCTAGTGGTTAGAATTTAGAGCTCACTACTTTGGCAGCCTGGGTTCACTTCCCAGTCACGGAACCACACCACCTGTCCATCAGTTGCCATGCTATGGTGGCAGCTCACATAGAACAGCTAGAACGACTTACAACTAGGATATACAACCATGCACTGGGTCCTTGGGGAGTAAACAAAAAAACAAAAATGTTGTTTAGAGAGTAATCTGGCAAACTGCATCCAAATTTTATCCATGAGTACCCTATAACTCAGCAATTCCATGTTCAGGGTTTTCTATTAAGAAATAATTGTAAAAAGACACAGGTATAACAATGTTAAGTGTAGCATTGTTCATGATGTTTTTTAAAAAGTGATTAATTATATATTTAAAATATACCTATATAAATGAAATTCCCTACAGCTATTAAAAATGATGATGCAGGCATATTACTGACGTAGAATATGATAGGTTTTAAACAAAGGTAGGTTATAAAAAAATAGAAAGTATGATTAGTTTTCTAAATATGCATGTTCATGTGAACAAAAAATCTGGAATGATATATACCAAAATGCTATTTCTAGATGAATTAGAAGATTTTGCACTTACTTGTTTATAGCTTTCTATTTTTTGACTAATTTTTCTTATAATCAGCATTATAATTTTCAAAATCAGAGGGAAAAAAAGCAATTTTTGCTCTGAGAAACGAAAGTCTCTATGACACACAACCCACCTTTCAGGCTCATCTTTCCCTCCATCCCTAAACAAATCCTGGGCTTCTCTCTTCCCCAAACACCCTCATACCTTTTTACTTTTTTTATTCATGCTGTTTATTCCCTTAACCTCAAAATCCCCGTTCCACAGCTTCTCCATCTGTCAAAACCATATCCCTTCTCAAGATCTAACTCAAATATCTTCCTTCATGAAAACATAAATTAATTGCTCAAAGTTCTGACAACCCTTTGCTTGAAACTCAACCACACATTGACTTCACCTGATTTGTGCTCTGGTTAGTTCTTTCAATGATGGATTCATCCATTAGATCCAAAACAGAGGACAGGTTCTATGTCTAACTCATTTCCAAGTTCTCGCAACACCAAGCACTGTGTTTTGCCCATGACACGCACACTTTCCTCTCACCTTATTTTTCTTCATTTCACTTTATCATTGAGGTATGGACCTTATGGAGTTTGTTTACTGATATCTCTCCATCACTTAGAATAGTGCCTGGTACTGAGTAGGCACTCAATAAACTTTTGTTAAATGAATTAATCTGCCGGATTGAGTTTAGAAAAATAATCTTCCTACAACAGTCTTCCTATCTTTGATGTATGAAGCCAGAGACAATGCTTAACTACACTAAGAAGGAAATGAGTATTTGATGCAAACACAAGCATAAAACATCCTTTATTCCTCACCCACTAATGCATTCATTTGGCTTTTTCCCCCAGTTTTACAAATGGTAAAGGACTGTGAGGTTCATAAGCATAAAAGAACAAAGATACAGCATGAAGGGTAAACTCTCAACAAATACTTCTGTGTAGTACCAGTCTGAATCTTACTCCACATTATTTATTTATTCTTATTCCCTCTATTACTTGTCTTTCCCATCATTATCTAGTAGATTCAAACACAGAGTTTGGATCAAACACTCCACTCCTGCCCCATCCCTAGAAGATAACTGAACAATTTCCATCAGTGGCCTCAGCTCACCTCAAAGTTCTGAAAAGACACATCCAGCTATAACATCCTTGGCAGAGGAATTAACCTCCCTCCTTAGAAACTTTAAAAGATGGAAGGACTTTATTATCATAAGGCTTTCCATTCTAATTTTGGAAAGTTCTCTTTATTAACTCTTATAACCCTTTAAAGACTCTTAATTATTATAATAATTATTATTATTATCTAAATTAATATCAAAGTCCACATAACTTTCAGAGTGGTACTAGTTCGCTTCTTATGAGCCACAAAGAATAAACCTAAGCCATCTTCTCCATGGTAGTCTTCAGAGATTACCAACATATTCTCCCCATCTCCCTTCCCCAGATTTCCAGATTCAATATTCATGATGCCTTCAACTTTTTCTTGTAAGACATTAATTCTAGATATTTCACTATCTAGTTCACTCTCTTCAGGATTCGCTCCAGTTTTTCAATGCCCTTCTTAAAACATGGCTTGGTGGTAGACGTCTTTTAGGCCTCGTCGAAGACACTGCTGTTTACCTATCCAAGGCCACTTCTAATCCCCTTTTCCCCGCCTCCTAAGCCCACCTTCTGATATGAAGGTTTATAACGCCCAACTCACTCTCCCAGTATCTCTTGCTGCTGCAGCATTAACATGAGACCTTGTTCTAGCCAACGGAATTTGAGAAATATGTTCGGGCTGGTGGGAAAAATTTTCCTCTCTTTAAAGGGAGAGGGATACATGAGGAGAAATGACACTTCCCATCTACTTAACTCCTGACTTTGAGCACAGCGGTATGAGAACACTATATTTGGAGCTGTGGTACTATGTGGCAACCATAAATTGACAACAGAAAAAATTGTAGAAGCCAACACAGAACTCTGACATCAATGAGCCACTAAACTAACTCTAGAACAGCCTACTTCTGGAGTTCTTGTAAGTGAGAAAAATAAACTCACTTTTAATCACATATTCTGTTACTTACAGCCAAAGTAGTCTGATGCAGATATCACCAAGAACAGTGTTCCCAATTCATACACATAATCCTTTGTGGTCATGTTTCTATACTGTGATCTTGTCTCCTGGCCAGAGCTGACCCACTGACATGTGACCCAAGTTTAGGTTGATCCAATTCTCTCTCCTGGGAATTTAGAAGTGGAAATAACTGATGCCAGTTAGTCTCTGATGGGCACTTATACCAGGACTCAATATAAAGCTGGAGCAGGGGATGATAAGCAGAGATTCTGCTTAGTGAGAAAAATGATACAGATGAGCAGAGAGAATAAGAGTAGGAAACAATAAAGCCCCTTAAAGATGGAGAAAGCAAACTCAGACCCTGAAAAGCCTTCTGTTTTCTGGTCCCAAGCCCTCCTGATCCCCAGTTATAACTCTGCCTTTTATGGCTTAAGTGATCTGGCAGGCCTCCAGAATTAAACTTCACTTTCATAAAAATCCAAACACAAAAAAATACAAAACTAACACATTAAAATACTTTTTCATGCCACAATAGATTCAAATTCAGCTAACTCACACTGCATTCTTACTCAATTACGCCAAGCACACTGCTAGGCAATTTTTACATTCTACATTCACGGCCTTACTTACTTAACGCTTATAACAGTCCTTTAGGATATAAAATACCACCCCATTTCATAGATGAGGACAGTGAAGTGAAGACACACACGAGTGGTTAAAGGACATTGACCTCTGTCAGTCGATGATTCCAAATCCCCCTTCTCACCAGTCCCATGATACCCCAAATATCAGACACTCAATAAATAGCTACTAAAAAAAAGCTCAACTGTTCCATTTTAATCCATAATTCTAGGTTTTAATGTTTAACGTTTAAGATACTGACCTGTTGCACGTTGGACTTCAGTTGAAATTTCACTGGGACTAGGGATTCCCAGGGAAGTCTCTGCCTTCTCAAGGACATTTGAAATACCTTGTCCTAATGAGAAAAATGATATTTTTATATTTGAATATTATTTGCTATTAGTCACCAAAACTGAAGAAACAAACCAAAAATCAAACCTGCAGATTTTTAAAATCATTATGGCCACAACACGTTATTTTGACCATACATAGCTAATCTTTGGGAGTGTATCCTTATGAAAAGAAAAAAACAAACTGATTCATTATCACCAAAAAATAATTTTATATTAACAATTCCTAGACGTCAACCTTCTAATGAGGAAATGCTGCAAACCCCAGCGGCAGTATAAGTTACTAATGCATCCTCAAACTATAGAGCCTTTGAGTAAACATGGAAGAGGAATTATGAACAAAGCCATTTTTAACACAGATCTGTAGCAAAATACACACAAAAATTAATAAAATGACTGATGACCTTACCTACTGTAGCTACTGTAGCTGAGGCTGAGGAGAGTAAGGACTTGCCCCAGCTGCCCCAATAGCCCCATCCAGTCTGAGGTACATCTTTAGAAACTGTCTCCTATTTTTCCCAGTAGGCAGAAAAACAAAAGGCAAAGAAAAATGGAAAAATTAGAGGAAAATAAGTGTATAATAAGGTATCTAATTGTGAGCAAAAAGTATGGGTAACAAATACATATTATTTGGCTAAAGAAATGTATTGCTCGACTGATAGATGTATGTTACCTGCATGTAAGCACCACACAGCAAAGGCAACTACTTATAAAGGCATTTACAGAACTGAGAAAATTGTGTTTTATGGTTGTAAAAGGAAAGAAAAAAGTACAATCCTAAATTGGTATTGATTCTAAATTCCTTTTAACCCTAACATTTTTTAATCTCAATCTTTTAATAGATACTCTACTTTGCCTGCAGCCTGTGATGCCTGAACAGGGAGAACTTCTGAAGTCTCAAGGTCACTGGAAGGTTTGGACTCTGGTCTTTTCCGAGTGGAAGCTACAGGTTCTGATTTACTCTCTGGATTGGCACGTTGGTCAACAGACTCAGAAGTCTTGGCTGGCTCACAGTTCCCATCTTCAAGGATGGAGCTTGCTTCAGTTAACACTGGAGACTCAATATCATCCTCATCTGACATGATTATATCATCACCTGGTAAAATAAAAGCCCAAGAAAAAATTTAATTATATAGGCTTTTTTGGTACAAGTTATTTGTTTAAATGTTTTACTCCAAAATTACAGATTCACATGCAGGTGTAAGAAATAATACAGAGAGATCCTATATACCCTCATCCAGTTTTCCCCAATGGGAACAATTTGTATAATTGTAGTTTAATATCACAACTAGGAAATTGATAGATACAATCTATCAACCTTATTTAGATTTCACCAATTTTACACGCACTCATGTGTATTTAGTTCTATGAAACTTTATCACATGTATAGATTCACGTGACCATCACCACACTCAGGATACAGAACAGCTCGATCACAAGGATCCTTCGTGTTATTCTTTTAGCCACGTCCCACCCTCCTTCCATCCCACAGCAACCACTGATCTGTTGTCCATCTCTGTAATTTTGTCATTTCAAGATGCTATATAGGGCCGGCCCGGTGGCGTAGTGGTTAAGTTCGGCACACTCTGCTTCAGCAGCACAGGGTTCACAGGTTCAGATCCCGGGCGCGGACCTACTCTGCTCATCAAGCCATGCTGTGGTGGCGACCCACATACAAGAAAAAGGAAGAATGGCATTGATGTTAGCTCAGGGCCACTCTTCCTCAAGCAAAAAGAGGAAGATGGGCAACAGATGTTAGCTCAGGGCCTATCTTCCTCAGCCTCTCCCCACCACAAAAAAATGTGCCCATCAAGATGTTATACAAATGGAATCATACAGTATATAACCTTTCGAGATCAACTTTTTTTACTCAGCATAAGTCCCTCGAAATCCATCCAAGTTGTGTACATCAGTAGTTTCTTCCTTTTATTGCTGAGTAGTATTTCTTAGTATGGATGTATCTCAGTTTGCTTAACCATTTACCTGTTGAAGGATATTTGGGCTGTTTCCAGTTTGGGGCTATTATGAATAAAATGGCTATGAACATTCATGTACAGTTTGTATGTATCTTTTGCTCATTTCCTAATTGGATTGCTTTTTTTTTTTTACTGTTGGTTTTTTTTTTTTTTAAAGATTTTATTTATTTATTTTTTTCCCCCCAAAGCCCCAGTAGATAGTTGTATGTCACAGCTGCACATCCTTCTAGTTGCTGTATGTGGGACGCGGCCTCAGCATAGCCGGAGAAGTGGCGTGTCGGTGCGCGCCCGGCATCCGAACCCGGGCCGCCAGCAGCAGAGCGCGAGCACTTAACCGCTAAGCCACGGGGCCGGCCCTGCTGTTGGGTTTTGAGAGCTCTTTATATATTCTAGATTCAAGTCCTTTGTCAGATATGTGGTTTGCAAATGTTTTATCCTAGTCTGCAGCTTATCTTTTCACTCTCTTCACAGAGTCTTTCACAGAGCAAAAGTTTTTAATTTCAATGACGTCCAATTTATCAATCTTTCCTTTTATTGTCATTAAAAAATTTTAGTCATTAATCATTCCTACCTCAATTTCTCAGAAGATTATGAAATTTAAGCCATCAGATAGGATTTACATCAGACCAGCTTTTGAATAGCAGTGTTAACCAATTTAATTCCTTTCAGCAGTACAGCTCCTTGGCAATTAAAGCCCAGACACTATTGGTCTCTTTACAAAAAGCAGATGCTAGTTTCCAGGAGAATCAAATATTACCAGAGGAGAAATAAACATATCTGACACATACATACATATACACACACCAAGACTCTAGGTATGTCTAAACATGTATTTTGTATTGATATGTACTAAATGCAGAATCAGACCCAATCCACGCCATCCAAACATGTCTAATGTACTAGGAAAGAGAGACATATTAACAACTAAGGCAGCTTGGAAGCAGCACTATAATTGAGGTATCCACAAAATGCTAAAAGAACAGAGATGAAGGAGAAGTCTGCTAGAATAAAGGAATAAGATTCATGCACAAAATATCTGAAATAAGCACAGAATAGTGGCCACAAACTGGGAATTTGAGGGGCAAATCCAGACTACAGATGTTTTTATTTGGCCTGCACAGTGTTTAAACTTTTTTTTATATTAATTGCTAACATTTAAAGATCAGACTTCGTATACAAATACAGTAGAGATTTCCAACTTCCCTTGTAAAACTGAAAGACCTCGCAACACCAGGCCCACATTCCACTTGGTAATAACTAGCTCGCGCCAAATAGTTGCTGGGCCTTTTTAGGCAGGGTAGTGCTCTCTAGTTCCCCACAATTCCACCCAAATCCACTTGACTCATTTATGTTACCTGATTAGCCCCTGTAGGCATCTGAGCTTGCAAGACCTGCCTTAAAGGGCACTTAGGATTTTGACAGATGAAGATGCCAACAAGAGAATTCAAGGGTGTGGAAACAACACATGGGAAAGCTCAAAGGCCTGAAGTGTGACAGTATGAAATATGGACAGATACCAGAAGTAGTTAATACGGCAGGGAGTAGAATGGTGGGGAGGTATAAAGCTGGAAAGGTAGATCTATACAACATCATGGAGCTTAGATCATATGGGTATAAGATATACATACATTTTATATTCCCAAAACACATAGAAAAAAAATCCAAATAAAACTACCCATAGACATACAAACCAACTCTGAAATACTCATTCATTCATTCACTTGCAAACATCTGAGCACCAACTATGTACCAAGCTCTGGACATTAAGAATTAATCTAAGGGCCGGCCCCGTGGCTTGGTGGTTAAGTGAGCGCGCTCCACTGCTGGCGACCCGGGTTCGGATCCCGGGCTCGCACCGACGCGCTGCTTCTCTGGCCATGCTGAGGCTGCGTCCCACATACAGCAACTAGAAGGATGTGCAGCTATGACACACAACTATCTACTGGGGCTTTGGGGGAAAAAAATAAATAAATAAAATCTTTAAAAAAAAAAAAGAATTAATCTAAGACACAATTTCTGCCCCACTTACTTCAAGCGCCTTATAGGAAAGACTACACAGTTCTTACACGAAGTTCAATCAATGTTTTGTGTAGCTGAATAGATATGTACTTTTTTGCACTATCATTTCACTCTCTTTATGCTCTCTCCAAGTCATAATACACAATAATAAAATAATACTTTATATATAGCATAATATATATAGAATATATAATACACATATTACATAAATAACTCACATAATTTTATAAAAGACTGGAAGAACATACTCCAACATATTAAATATTGGTTATCTCTATTTTTTCATTCGTGCAACGATGATTTAATGAGCATCTAGAATGTGCTAGACATTTGAGCTAGGTGAGAAGAGACTTCTTTGTGGTGGTAGCTGTTTATATTATCATTGCCATCATTATCATTACTTTCATTATTAGAATGGCTGTACCATTCCCACTCTCAATGAATTAATAATATAGCAGGAAAGGCAAAAAAAGGGGGGGGAATAAATATCAGAGACCTGGAATTGCACTGTTTCACATCTTTGTTAATTTTGCCAAGTATTCTGTAGTCAGTGTGTGTTATTTTCAAAATTGGAGGAGAAAGACTCCAAAAACTAGAACATTACAAGTAAAACTAAATGGCAGAGTCATATGTTTAAAATAAAAATGTACACACACACACATACATATATACTTTCACCCATTTTCTTTGGGAACTTCCAGTCACAGTTACCAAAACGAAAGGCGGCTTAGCTTAGAAGCTAAGAGCACGGGCTCTGGAGTTAGACTGACTTTCTTCCAACTCTGTCCTACAGTAATTGTGAGGAAGTGTCCTCACCTGTGACACGGGGCTGGTAACGCCTACTTGACAGGGCGCCTATAGAGATTCAACGACACGATCTGTGTGAGGGGCTTGGAGCAGAGCCCGGCACATAACCTCTCCGGGGTAACAGCTGCTCTCAGCACTCGAGGTGTTGGGTGTTTGTGTCATAACGATCGTTATTAACACGGCTGTCTCTACACAAACAAGCATGCGCTCTCACTTCTTCCCACACACAGGAACAAGTCCCATACGGGCCTCGCGTAAACATGCGCTCCTAAACTCTCCCACGCAGACAACGACGAGAAGTCGTCACACAAACGTAGCGCTTCAATAACCAAAGAGCTTTCACAGCCTCCGCGTCCGGCCGTGCGCGTCGGCCGCCCAGCCCCAGGCCACCTCCTCCCCCTCCCCAGAGACCTGGGCTGCCGGGGCTGGCCCCGGGCCCCCGCACCCCGCTCCCTCCTCCCGGGAAGTCCAGCACGCAACCGGCCGCCACTCTCACCGCCGCCGACGAGCCGCTCTTACCGCCCCGGAAGCACTCCTTCAGTGAGGAGGCGGCCTCGCCTGCCCGAGAGCACTTCCGGGTCAAGTCGCGGCTCCGGCAGGAAGGAGGCCGGTGTGGGTGCGGTGAGTGAAGGCTCGAACCGTGTCTTTGCGAGGGAGGTTCACGGGGTGCTGAGGCGTGGTTTCGAGTCGGTGGGTCAGGGTCTGACGTGAAGGAGGCTAGGATGTCCGCGGTCCTTTTGCAGGCCTGGCCTGAGCTGCGGGAGTTCGGACATGGTACATTTACTGAGCGCCAACTACCTGCCGGGCACAACCCTGTGCGCCTGGGACACAGCGGTTTACAAGACGACTGTAGCCCTGCTCTCAAGTAGTTGACATTCTAGTGAGCGAGGCCGACATAAACAAGTCAACAAACACCATTACCTAAGATGGTAGTGAGTGCTTTAAAAAAAATTAAAGAGGATAACGTGACAGAACGAAGAGGGAGAGTAAGCCTTATGAAGGTCTGGAGAATTGCATTCGAGGCAGAAGGAATAGCAAGTGCAAAGGCCTTATAGTGGGAACAAGCTTAGCAAGGTGAAGGAAAAGAAAAAAGGACGCTGTGGCTGCAGCAAAAAAGAGGAAGATGAGGCCAGAGACCTAAACAGGCCAGATCTTGTAGGGTCTGTGAGCCAGGACAAGGAGTTTGACTTTTATCTGGAAAGCAGTGGAAAACGATTGAAAGTTTCTATGCAGAAGAGTGACATGCTCTGATTTATGACGTTAAGATAACTGCTGACCCCTTATCAGAAAGATGCATCTCTTCAGTTGCCCTTGAGCAGTGGGAGCACATGAAACCCAGACT